TAACTGAAAAAGAAACCATCTTTCAAAATATATTTAGGTACTACAATATATTTATAAGTAAAAACATTATTTAATGTAAATAATTTATTTATTAATTAATATGGCAAAAGTTTAACAGTGATTAAAGACTTATTTTAAGAGACTACAATTGGATATCACAATAATATAACACTAAGGAGGTAAGTTGTTTCATTTTGGAGTGTGCTGCAGGACCCTATCCTCTGTTTTTGACCTGTTGATAAATCTCGTGACCTGTACCGAGGGCACCAATAGCCCCGATTCCAGCTTTCTGTAACAAAATATAAAATAAAATAAGTTATCGGATCGGAATACAGGACCACTTTAAAGTTCTTATCTATTGCGCTAACAGAAGTAAAATGGTTTACCAGTTTTCATGACACTTAAAGTATTAAAACTTATTTGAGAATTAGATGTATAGTTAGTTGCTTCAGCGGTTTTTAATAGAATGACCACTACGACTATGCATTTACGACAGAGTTTTCAACAGTTGTATTACCGAGTATCATTTAATTGGGACGTGCTATTATGAACAAAGTTTAAATTCAAACCAGAATTTCAATTCTCTTGAAATATGTAAGTAAAACTTACAATAGCTTTAAATCCTTTCCTCAAGCCGCCTCCCGTGCCCTTGGGGTGTGCGCTGGCGCCGCCCATCAACATGGCGACCACCGCGAGGACCAGCACTAGCAGGTTGAACAGTTTCATGTTGACTGATGTGTGTTGCTTCACTTCACTGTGGAGCATACTAAACAAAATAAGAGCTCACTTCTCAAGTGAGGTCTTATTTGTCGAGACGATTTTCTTGCGCCGACCCGATATCTAGTTGTTATTGTTGATCGAAGGTCGTCGCACATAACAATTCGAAATTTGAAACATCAAGTGATTATTATTATTTGTTTGTTGATTGTTCTTATTTGCTAAATATTCAAATTCAATGTTTTTTTCTAACTGTCACAAACGACAGTTTTCTATGAATTTTGTACGAGATTATGTATTGTGACGTCACGACGTCGCACGTCAGCCAGCATACTTATTTCTTAAATATATACTAGAAAAATACTAAAAAATAAGTTAATCATAAAATCAATTAGTGAAAGTGTGATATTTTTTTATATTTGTATAATAAAAAATTGTTGTAGGTATTGAACAGTCGAAATAATTTATTTTTGATTATGGAAAGTATGTATTATATATATCATCCTAACTTTGATTTTTAAAAAGGTATTATTGCTGTATAATATCTAATGTTGACCGTACGAAAAGATGCGATTATGTTCATGCGATATAAAATATATTTTAGAAGTTTTGTCCACCCTGTATTTAGTACCTATAAAGAGAGATCCTCAAGCTGAATAAATATATTCATTTTGTGGACATTAAAATATTTTTCATAAAGGAACTACTTATTTCTCTGACAATCTTCAAGTATATTATTAACAATATATAATGGTAGGTTACTTATACAAGATATTTCTGGATTAGGACGACACAGTCAGTTAAACACAATTGAGTAACAAAATATTTCTTGTTTATAAAATGAAAAAAAAAATATATATATGACATTTAATGTTATTAATAACACTGCTAGTTCCTAATTACAATTATAATACTTAAATAATGAAATTAATATTTTTTTTCTTTTCAACCATTACGTGAGCGGTGTAACTTTTAGGTTACTTTATTTAAATACCGATAACAGATGACATATAAAGTAATCTGTTAGATCACATTCAAATAAAGAAATCTATGTTATTTCTTTACAAGTACTGGAACTATTTATTTCTCTGACAATCTTCTAGGGTATTATTAAAAACTAGCAGCCCGTTCCGGCTTCGCACGGGGTAGACAATTATTTATTTTTGGTTTGGATTGTTGTAGTGACATAACTACAATACTTGGACATATGCTACCGCGGAGTTTTTTGTAGACATTATGATGTTCTTCAATATTGTTATACGTTATTTTGTTCTATCGCTAATAGTTTCGGCAGCACATTCGACGAAAGACATTTTAAGACTCATTTTTCTACACCTTCGCTTACATTGTTCAAATTTTACCAAGGATCCCTAATTTTTTTCAAAATGAAATGTAGCCTTGGAAGAATGTAGCATTCTATTGGTGAAATATTTTTTTAAATCGGCCCAGTATTTTTGAGCCTTTTCATTACAAACATACAAAAATAGGTACAAATCTTTCCTCTTTATAATATTAGTATAGATATATAAAGGTATTACTTATATAGTTACATGCAAAGTACACTTGTATGTACGTACATACATCTGTTGTTACTTTTGTGTCTTATCTTACTTTAAATCTATACGTGTGTAGGTAAGTAAACTCTTAAGTTATTTAATGTTAACTATTTATTTTGCTAATTACATTTTATTGACATAATAAGGTTTCGCAAGCTATTTTATAGTATCCCATTTCAGACAATAATATCTATTGGCATTTTAATATCACAATAGATGTCCAATAGTGTTAATTATATTTATCTATTTTATCTAGCGACGTGTCGTTAACCCCTTCTGTGTTTGATTTGTTCATAAATTTCATGACCCGTACCGATGGCACCAATAGCTCCGATTCCAGCCTTCTGTAATAAACAATAATAAAAATAAATTAATTTTGATAAAATATAGTGGCGATCCAAGTAACTAACACTATGGGTAATTAATAGACATCTAAACTCGTCAGATCATCTTGTTTGAACTGAATTTATGAGGAAAACATTCATTTCTATATTAATATAAAGGAACAATCAAATAATAAACAGTTATCTTCAGATTAAATCAATCAATCAAGTAATGCTTTCATATCATCAGCCCATAAGTAGCCACTGCTGACCAACGGCCTCTTCTCACGTGGAGGAGGTTTTAAGCATTAATCACCACGCTTGCTCAATGCGGGTTGGTCGAATTCAAACTTATTTTAGAAATTATAGGCCCAGATTTCCTCACGATGTTTTCCTTCACCGTTTGTCAGTGATGTCTAAATAGTCTTAGAAAGGTAGGTAATGTTTTAAGGTGTCTAAATTATCATACATAACTTCACGCCTGTCTCCCATGGTGGTAGGCAGAGACTATGGAACGCCAATTTCTACGATTCCTATATACCTCTTTCGCTTTATCAACAGTCATCAATCTTTTCATGCATGCTCGTCGATGAAGGTTAACTTTCAACAATTAAAAATGTGAAGAAGTATTGAGTAAATAATCAATAATCGGTAAAATACACTTTGATGCTTTTATTTAAAAAAAAAGAATACATACAATGGCTTTAGCTCCTTTCTTCAATGCATTTCCCGTGCCCTTGGGGTGTGCGCTGGCGCCGCCCATCAACATGGCGACCACCGCGAGGACCAGCACTAGCAGGTTGAACAGTTTCATGTTGACTGATGTGTGTTGCTTCACTTCACTTGAATGATGGTCTTACATCGTCTTCACCATCTTATATACAAAACAAGGAGCTTGTGACTAACACCGGAGGAGAATCCTATACGCCATAGTAAACCGCGAGGGGTTTTCCTTAAACTTACGCTTTCGTATGATAACAGTTACTTACCGAACGCGAACCACGTGTTACAGTGGACATGATTTGTTATTTTGTTGTGGCAAAATGTATGTACAGATAAAAGTGAGAATGTAATAAGGGCCTATATATTTTGAACATGCTATTTTTTATGAATTGTACTTACCTATATTGTTGAATGGTATTTCTCACTCTAATTAACCCAATGTCTATGCTCTACTTATAAAATTTGATTAATCACTGATCAGGTTATAAAATAAACACGAAAAAGTTTATTTCTATCATGGACTATTTGCTATGAAACTATGTGTTGCAACGACATTGTAAAGTTTCACTGTCTTGAATTTTTTCGTGGCATAAGTTCAAATGGTTCAAACATTATTTAGGCGATCTTACACCTGACATTATGGTTAATTAAATCCGAAGAGATATAACCTCTCAGTACTTTATCCGAATTGGGCTTTTGAGGTCTTCATGGCCAAGAACAAAGTCACAAGTTTTTTGTACTAGAAAAGTTTGCAGTAGTTTTTTGTACTAATACGGTCCCAAACCCGTGGGGGTATAAATATTTTTCTACAGATTAGGCCTCTGTTAAATAAATATAAAATTTAAAGCAAGAGTAACTGATGACTAGTGGGCTAACGAAGATTAGTACTAGATCTTCAATATTACTTATCAACAATCTTAGAGTGTTTGTGAACATTAGACAGCTTTATAATATTGTTATATACAAGCTTCTGCCAGCGGCTTCGCCCGCGTTCCTGTGGGATAAAGTAGCCTATACGGTACTCCAGACTATAATCTACCCCTGGTACAAATTTCATGGCGATCCTGTCATCTTGTCGACGTGAAAGCATAATAAACAAAAATATAATCTTTCATATTAAAAATATTAGTAGGATGTTATTTAATTTTGTTTGAAAAATTTACTAGGTACAGATAGAACCTGGCACTATAAATATTAGATTTGATGAAAATTCTCATTTAGAAGTACTATTATTAGATACAATAGAATCAGCCTGTTAATAAATTTCCTTACAATTCGAGACTTGAATTACTTGTGAAATATCAAAATAGAAAAACCCAATAATATTTTGTTCGGTCGATCGTTAGGACAGGTTTTTTTTTATATTGCCATTATATTTTATATTTTATATTGGGCTCAATAATCTATTTCCTTAAAAAAATTGGTAAGTACGTAACACATTTTATAAAAGCCTTATTTTCCTTTTATATATAAAATTTATATTTTCCTTGTTATGTTATAAGTTAACGCTCATGTATCTGTTATTGCGCAAGTTCCATGTCATATGTATGACTTATTAATATTAGGTCGTCGCCTTCGATCAACAATAACAACTAGATAAAGGGTTACGTACAAAATCAAGCTCCAGTTCTGTCCGTGTGAATAATAATAGTAAAAAATAACAAACAGAGCTGTGATTGAATCTATTTTATTAGTGATGGATTATATACTAGAAGGTATGTATATTTTTATTATATATACATGATAAAGTAATTTTAACTGTGTAAATTTATAAAAGAAACCTACCCTCATACGTCTTTCAAGGCGTAATTTTTCTAACTTTCAAAGGTTTGTTGGAGGGTAACTAAAAACCCCCAGTCTACCCCAGTTTACTTTTTTTTTCTAGAGGTAGCTACATATTTTAGCTTTTAAATAATTTATATTTTTTTACCCCGAACACAGTCCAACATGGTTTTATTTTTATTTTTCAGAAGTTACATACAAACTTACTCGTATTGATTTTTTTCAAGAGTGGGTCAAATTAGACAAAAAGGACAAAAATAATTTAATGCTAAGGTATATAAAGCAGAAATGGAGCTTGGAGGATGTTGTAGATACATCAGAAAAAGAAATTAAATTATAAATATCAAGATTTTCGGCAAAATTAACTGAAAAATGGAATTCTTGTCGATTCGATAAAAAAAGGATGTTGGAGAAAAATAAGACGTGGCTGGAAGGTGCAGACTTAGAGTTTAAGGTTGCTTTTCACAGACCACAGGCTTCCACATCGGCACCGCTTAAGCTACATCCTGGAAGACCGCCAATAGATTTCGAAAATGCTTCTGAGAAAACTAAAAAACGCCGCGTAGAAGAACTCGTTAGTGAGCGTAGCGCAAGTGAGCTAACGTTAGCTGCTGAGATAGCTCATAGAAAGGCAGGATTCAGGAATGTAGCAAAAGCTATTCGAAGTAGCAACAGCCCAGCCAAGGGTAACCAATCCACGTCGGAATCTTGTGTTGGTGGCAGACAATTAAGTAGTGATGAAGCTTTAGCGTATTATATAGACTCTAAGTGCACCACTCACTCTTACAAGCAGACAAGGAAATGGTCTATGAAGGCGGGACATAGAGTGTTTCCATCATATTATAGCTTATGTAAGTCAAAATTATCTTGTTATCCACTAGAGGAACACATTTCTATAACAGAATCACGCGCGGACATAAGGCTTCAAGCTATTTTAGATTTAACCACCAATCGATTAGTAAAAGTTCAGAATGAAGTTATTAGAAGTGTGCTCTCAAAATCGTCGTCGTTCACATTAGTCAGTAAATGGGGTTGTGATGGAAGTTCTGGCCACAGTACTTATAAACAGAAATTTGAAAACGTGGAAGCTACAGATGAGTTTCTGTTTGTTTTTTCTTTTGTTCCTTTACAATTATATGACGGTGATATCATCATTTGGCAAAATCCTCGCCCGTCATCGACCACCTACTGCCGACCAATAAAGTTTATTTTTGCTAAAGAAACAAAAGAACTTACAACTACAGAAACACAAAAAGTTTTGGATGAAGTTTCTCAACTGCTTCCAACATTATGTAACGTTGCAGGTTCTCAAATTTCTGTAAATCATAAGTTTCTTTTAACCATGACGGACGGGAAAATTTGTAATGCGTTGACGGATACACTATCCGCTCAAAAATGTTATATCTGTGGCGCCACACCCCTAATGATGAACGACGAAAGCAAGGATTTTCCTCCCAAAGAAGATAATTTAAGTTTTGGTTTGTCTACACTACACGCATGGATCCGTTCCTTTGAGTGTCTCTTACACATAAGTTATCGCTTAGATTTTAAGAAATGGCAAGCAAGGTCAAAAGCTGATAAGGATCATTTAAAATTACGTTCCGAAATTATTAAAGATAAGTTTAAGAAAGAGTTAGGTTTAATTGTAGACAAGCCAAAACCGGGATATGGAAATTCAAATGACGGAAACACTGCCCGTAGGTTTTTTTCAAACGCAGCTCTAAGTGCTGAAATTACGGGATTAGACGTAGATTTAATTAAAAAACTCGGTATTTTGTTAACAACTTTGTCTTCTGGTTATGATATTGATTTAAATAAACTCGCGAAATATTGTTCAGATATAAAAACGCTTTATTTAAGTCTGTATTCGTGGTACTACATGCCAGTTACTTTACACAAAATACTTGTGCATAGCACTGAAGTAGTCAAATCTTCACTTCTTCCCATAGGACAACTATCGGAAGAAGCGCAAGAGGCTCGCAATAAAGATTGTCGTCGTTTCCGCGAGCACCACACTAGGAAAAGGTCACGTATTGCCACGAACACAGACTTGTTGCATATGCTTCTATTAACGTCTGATCCTTTGATTAATACCCTTAGAGAAATCCCTGTTAAAAGGTTGAATAATTAACCAGCAGAAGTTTTAGACATCTATGTCCCGCCTTCATAGACCATTTCCTTGTCTGCTTGTATGAGTGAGTGGTGCACTTAGAGTCCCTGTTAAAAGGTTGAATAAATTACCCGCAGAAGTTTTAGACATGATTATCCCGCCTTCACAGCCACCATTACAGGTACCAAGTAACCTTGATCATACTGATGAAAATTATTTGATACCTGATTCATCTGATTCTGAATGTGAGAGTGATTAATTATAAATTGGTATTAGTACTTACTATAATTATATTTAATATTTATTTATATAATACTTACAAAAATCTTATTCGGTTTAGATATATGTTTTTTTAATATACATAATATTTGCATTTCATTTGAATTTAGTTTAATTTTCAGCCTTATACATAATGTAACGTTTTGTTTTTGTATTTGTAATGTTTTTGTAGTTACTTTTTGCATAAATTCATTTTAATTTAGTGTGTATCATTAATTATATAATTAAACCGGTCATTAATATTTTTATATTTTTTTATTCATACCAATAACACCAGAACTCGGGAAAAATAATAATTTTGGCTTATTTTCATTCATCATAAGTGATATAAGTCAAAAAATATTTTTGTCCAGCTAGCATGTTCTAGTCGACACACTGTGGAACGGGGTGGTTTTTAGTCAGTAAGAGTCTGACACTACAGGCGGGAGCAGTCAATCGACGATTTTCCACCCTTAAAAAGAAAAAAGCCGTGCATGCATAACCGACAGGCAAGTTCTAGCGTGTATGTGACTAAACTGTACAGTTATCGGTGCATGTACATGCAAAACCTAACGTGTATGCGTGGTTTGAAACTCGGTTATGCTTGTCGGTTTTGCATATAAAGTTATTTTAAACATCATGCATAACCTAGCGTGTATGGCCTCCTTTATATTTCAGTTTCTAGTTTCAAATAAAACACGCGACATACCTACAAAATGTAGACGATAATAATTTTATATAATCTTACCGTTGTTGTTGAAGTTTAAAGAGCTTGCAGATCGTTGCTTGCAATGAACAATGTACTTAGGTACACGTTACACGTGCATTGCTTCTTTCATAGTTCACAAAACGCTAAGAATTTTCATACTCAAGCACTTCAGTGGCTCCGGTTACTAGTTTCCATTGTGCAAATTGATTTTATTCTTAACTTTTCCAAGACTGCAGGTAACAAAAGGATTTTGTTCTTAGAAATCTGAATGCTTTGTGCACATTTACGTATTCGTGCAAACTTCAATGTTTTATTCAAGTGGAAATTTTAACTACTTGAAGTTAAATTGATTTGAAAAGTAGATATTTTAACATACTAAGTAGACAGAATGCTCAGTTTTCATAAATTGTTCATATACCTAACCTAAAAGTTTACGAAAAACCATGATGTTGATGGTTTTATAGTCGAATTAGTCATTGGCAGTAATGAAGTCGTACTTCTAATGATCGCCTCAAAGGTAAGTTACTGCTGAGTGCCGAGCAAGGAAATTGTGATTTGATTCCTGGGTTAAATAAAATATTATCCGGGGCCAAGGGTGTTAATTATCATTGGGATATTGTAGTAATAACACGGGAGTCTTAAATAGTGCCGACAACATATGGTTCGCGATTTATTACCGTTATATGATTTATCATAATTGTCATATCTATGCTATGCTGTTTTTAAGGGAGGAAAATCATCTGCTGAGGCGGGAGGGAGTGTCAGACTCTTACTGACTAAAAACCATCACGTTCGAGCCGAAGCCCCGGCAACCCGTTAAGTCCTCCGCAGCATCTATGCTACGCTAGAGGTTCGCATTTAAATACATTTGTGTTACATCAGTATACAAATGTTTTATTTAAAATGCGAACCTTTGTCAACCTTTCACTAAATAAAACTATGTCTTGAAGTAACTTATATATTTAACGGGGAATAAGAAGTTTGATAAATTATCTACCTTTACGAATGTGTATCTATTTCTAAGTTCTTCGAATAATAACATCTCATTATATATATTGTTCAAGGAATACTAAACAGTAGTTAGATGCTAATTAGGTACGTATTCATACTACACACACACGTTCAGCATTCGCTTTGCTGATTCTCAGAGATATTATTGTCAAAATTGTCACTGCCTAATAAGTTCTACGAATTTGCCATTGCACAATTAACACTATTGTTTTTCATACTGTTTGTTTGTATGTGTGCTGTGCCTAAAATAGATTGTTCAAAATAAATACTTATTTGCATGTACTATTAGCTTACTGCACATTTTTCTTTTTCTAAGTATTGGGGTATTTTTATGCTCTTGTTTAAAGCAATGACTTGTAACATAACAGGGGGAAAATACGTGATCAATGTTATTTAAGTTGCGCCGTTGCCGATCAAAAATGTTAATACATACAAAGCATAAGTGTGGGAGAGCCATGCTTCGGCACGAATGGACTAGTGGATTCAGGAATCGGGGAGATTGGGGAAGGGGAAGGTAATTGGGCCTCCGGTAACCTCACTTACACAACGAAACACAACGCAAGCGTTGCTTCACGTCGGTTTTCTGTGAGGCCGTGGTATCACTCCGGTCGAGCCGGCCCATTCGTGCCGAAGCATGGCTCTCCCACACTTAAGATATTGTCAAAGCACCGATTTATTTCACTTAAACTGTCAAACACCAAGCGGTCACCGGTGACCGCAACCTATTGTTCTATAATTGTGTCTACAAAACCGGTACTCGACGAGTTAATCCAGCTACAGTTTGATACGGAAAATTTAATTTCCAGTTAGTCTGTCTGTTGCACGAATTTTAAAACGATAATTAAATAAAACTGATCGGTGCTGCCATGCTTGTAGGTACTGTGTAGCTGATCGTACCGTTGATTGGGCAGTGTTACTTACAATCGACCAAACGAATAAATAATTGCTACTGGTTTGAAAAAAGAGTAGGCATGGTAGTAAGTAGGTAATGTTTTATTTTTCAAATTTAATTAATACCGATGTATACAATATTTTTATATCATAAAATACAGGTATGTACTATTGTACTCTTCTGACCGCGTTTATTTTCCTTTGTTCTTTACGTGTTCGTAAATTTCGTGGCCAGTACCGATAGCTCCAATCGCACCGATCCCTCCTTTCTGCAACAAGATACAAATAGTTCATTAAATACTTCATTATTATTAAATATCAGATAAAACCCTCCTGCATTTGTTCTGCAGTAGAGTGTTTAGTAGAGCAGTGTAATCTAGCAGTTTGGACAAAAAAAAAAATTAAAGTACCTACTGGCCATAAGGCCAGATGTTGCAATTTCTGGATGGCCGGGGTGTATAAAAAGAGTCTCAAGTAAGGCCACATCCAATTAAACGCGAAATTAATAAACATTTATCATTTGATATCGATGAGCAAAAATATAAAAAGTTTGTACTGAAGTAAAAGTAATGAAACAGGTGAACAGAATTATTAGAAAAAAAATCATAACAAATTTTCACAAACTTAAATTATAAATGATGATGATGTGAAAATATAATTTGTTTAGACTCAATATTGAGATGAAAATATAAAAAACAGTTTATGCACTTACGACAGCTTTAGCTCCTTTTTTCAATGCATTCCCCGTGCCCTTGGGGTGTGCGCTGGCGCCGCCCATCAACATGGCGACCACCGCGAGGACCAGCACTAGCAGGTTGAACAGTTTCATGTTGACTGA